TGGTGATGAAAGCACAGTGAAAATAAGGAATTCCAACATTTTCCAAGTGCCAAGGAGTCTTGTGGAGACAAAGTGGAGAAGCTTGTCCTGAGGGATGCTTTTGTTCTGGGAGCCAGCGGTACCCGCGCTACTGGCTTCAGCTGTTGTAGGTTTGTAATCTTAAGAGAAGCAGGGGGGATCTACACCCACAGCTTTCACAAAAATTAGGCGTATTTAAGATGCAGCTTTTTCTTCTTGGTTTTGTAGCTGTGCTAGAAAGTCATTACACATGGTTTTATTTTCCCTTATCTCTTGAATTATCATCGGCTTGCTTCCTTCCTTCCTGGATGAATTTATCCAATGCTCTGATTGCAGCTCCATTTTTTATCACCTCCTGTCTATGGGGCTTAAGATTTTGTATATTTAACATAATTGAGCTGAGTATTTTGCAGCAACTGACAGTGAAGATAATTTTCCACCAATTGATGGGTTGGTTACAGTGAATCTTTTTGTACTCTGCTCGCTTTGGCTATTTGCTGTTTTGTTACAGACCTGCTTTATTTTATTTGTCCTTGGTTCTTTTTTTTTGTCCTTGTATTTATTTCATTTTTGCAGCCAAGGAAATCTGACTTTGGAGAGGGGAAACGGAGACAACATTTTAGGTTTTAAAAAACTTCCATGGAGATTCAGACAGCTGGTCAAAGATGAATGCAATTTGCAAACAGGGTCATGAATATCTTAGAAAACAGCAGTTTAAAATACCAGGGCATCAAATATCTCTAGTCTCTTTCTTTAGACTGGGCTTGGAATTTGATTGTAGGGTATTGGTTATTTCTGGGCTCGTGTAACAATTGCACAGGGAACAAGGAGGAAACAGAAAAAAATATTTTAGATAGGTGTTTAAGGGAAAGTGACATTGCATGATTTTGAAACAAAAAAAAAAATCTGTAAGTTGCATGAGATTGTGACCAAAAATATCCTACAGGGGCTGATCATTAGAACTAGGAGGTCAGCATCTTTCCAGAGCTAAACCGCTTGCTTCTATGTGCATGGGGATGCAGGGAGAGAGGGGTGAGTTTGGTGTACCTAGGATGTGGTAATTAAACCAGGAGGAATTTTTTAAGGCTTTCTGTGAACTAGGAGAAATTTAACATTTTTACTGAAACATCTTTAATTTTCTTATTAAGGGCAATTGTATTTTAGTGCGTGTTAGCTGGCTGACATTTACTCTGCACAAGTTTTAAAGCATTTTATATTGAAAATGCATCTGCCTACAGATTTACCCCAAAGCCTGGATCCTGTATGAGTCAGTGCTATTTTGTTTTGGTCTGCATATAGATACTCTTCCTTAACAATAGAAGGATTTTCCCCTAATTATTATTGAAATAGGAAATTTTTTATTATAAAAGGGGTATCAGCTCGGCTTTACATCAGAATGATGGTGATGTGTGATATAAAACAGTTTGGGTTATTTCAGTGCAGGTGCCTACATATTCCAGCTGCTATAGCATGTTAATCAATTTTTTGAAAAATAACCCTTTTAGAAGTTGTATAGACAAGCCCTGACTGCTTGCCTGAAGAAAGAAAGATGATAAATTAATTTAAATATTAAACACCAGTTGAGGCAATTAATTTTTAATGAAGACAATGAAAAACTGGTTTTGCTTGTATTCCCTGGAACACCCTTTCAAAAGCTTTGCTTTTCCAAAATTGTTTTTTTTCCTATGTGTGTGGCACAGGATGTGACTTGGTTCACAGCAGGTAGGTTCATTAGTTGGCGTTTCTGGTATAATATCCAGCTGTGGAAAGCTTATGAAATACTGGTATTTAGGTCATCTTAATTAGGCCTCGAAATAAAGACTTAAGATGAAGTAGAATAATTGCACATACTTCATTGCGGCTGAGCTTCTTCAGTGAAAAGAGGGTGCAATTCCTGGGCAATATGAACTGATTTTGGCAGAGTTGCTGCAAATCCGCCTCACCAGTGCTCCTGTGGTTGTGCAGGGAGCTGAACCGATTAAAACTGATGATTTTGGGGAGAGGTGAGAGATGTGGCAGTTTTCAGCTGGGTTGGGTGCTGGACTGGATATCTTCGCTCTCACTGCTACCGATGCCAGCACAGGGAGGGGATTGGGCTGGGGCAGCCCCCATTTATATCAGTGCAGGCTCCTGTGTCACCCACGCTTCGTCGTTGCTGACAATTCCGGAGGGGTTTTATCTGCTTGCTTCCTTCCTTCCTGGATGAATTTATCCAGAGTCATGCTTATGTTGGGAGGGAGCTCAGGTAGCAGTGCTCGTCTCCCAAGCTTGGGTGAGCAAAGAGCTTCCCCTCTTCTTTGCGCAGACTCACTTGCCAAATTAGGTCCCCAAAATACTACAGAATCCCTACCGGTGAAATCAGTGTGAGCTCTTTTGTGCCAAGAGGTGTGGCAGCGATTCCCATCCAGCCCGTGTTGAACTCGAGGTTAGCAAGCAAAAACCAAGAGGCAGCATCCCTGGTGCTGGGTTTAAGAAGTTGCGACCAGCAAGGGAAGCCAGAGGAATCTGAACAGTCAGCAGGCAACTGGATGACCAGCATCTAAAGGTGCCCCAGAGCTGATGAAATGCAGCTGCGTGTATTTCTGCCAGCCAATGCATCTGCCTTAATAACAGATGCAAATGTAGGATCTCCAAACGCATCCCCACCAAGCCATTGGGAATGAAGCTGAGGATGGTGCATAACTTAGGGCGAGGAAGGGCTTGGAGGAGAGTTGCAGTGGTGGCTGGGACATGCATCTGACATCGTACAAGCGCCTTACAGCATCTAACAGGCATCTAGGGGAAATACCGTGTGACTAGTTTGATAAATTTAATATGAGGAAGGTGGCAAGGTTGTACTGCTGTTTATCTCTTTGACTAATAACACGCAAAGTGTGCTTTTGGTGTTGTAACACCACAAGATGGGAGGGTGCCGTCATTTAATTGCGTTATTCAGCTAATGACGCATAAAGAGGTATTAAAAAGCAACAGCTATCACCTGCTACATCAGTGGTGCTGGTAGTTGAAACTTCCAACTTTTGTTTGTGTACCAGCGTAACTGAAAACAGAGGAGGAGCGCCTCCTGATCTGAATTTCCCCCCATAAGAGCATCTTTGTGTCCTTGGACTGTGGATGGAGCCGAGGGAGCACCTGTGGGTGCAGGAGATGGATGTTTGGTCTCTTCTTCCTTGTCTACGCCAGCAAGCTCAGCACACCCTGAAAGGCAGACTTCGTTTTTTTCTTAGCATTTTGAAGGTGTATCCTATCTTGCACCAGATCTTCTAAAATTGGAGTTTAGACAAAGCTTGAGGGGATTTAGGTTTGCATATTTTCCTAAGAGGATTACGCTTCACACTTAGTTGCTCTATAAATTGTTTGGGGTATTTTTACGATTTTCTAAGTACACAGAAAACCGCATACACATTCAAACTGCCCTGAAATGTGTTGTCTGGGGGTTAGTGATAGAAATCTGGTGTTTGAACTAGTAGTAAAGTGAATCACTGAACCTCAGGGTTATTTCGAACTGAAAAACATTTTGGTAATCAGATTTGCAGCGCGGCTGCGGGAACAGTTATAGCAGTGCAACTGGAGAGGCTAGCAAATTGCAAGAAGGATTAGAAACTGCTTACACTGACATCAGAGAAAACAATTTATCGTGAAAATAAAGCCCAGGAATAAATTAATGAGCACCCTTCCAAGCATGGGGGTGCTCATAACACATTGAGATTCTGGAAACTCTTTACATGCAGTTCAAGGGAGTAAGGCAGCTCAGTGGGAAGGATATTAATTGGGGAAAAAAATAGAGGTTGTCTTGTGAGGACCTGTATCGTTTAAGTTCACGCTCGTAAAGTCACTGGTGAGGTACCACACACCTCGGCAGTGGCCCCTCGAAGCGATGGGCACTGACGCTCCCCATGCTATCCGGCCGCTGCAGCATGGCGCCTTCGCTCCACTGGCTGTCGCAGCTGCTTCGCACCCACCGATGGGGTCATTTTTGTAATTGCCAGCTTAATTTTTCATTATGTGCCTGCGGGTGGGCTGTATCTTACACATTTTTTTGTGTGTGTGTTTACGGTGGTTTTTTGGGGGGGGGGGGCGGGGGGGAGCTCCTTTGTTATCTCGACCCACAAGCCTTTCCTTATATTTTCTCTCCCCTGTCCAGCTGAGGAGGGGAGTGATGGAGAGGCTTCGGTGGGCACCTGGCGTCTGGCCAGGGTCAACCCACTGCAGGGTGTGCAGAGGTTGTGCAGCAGCAATTGCTGCTAAAACCAAGCCTGTACCGGGGCTTCTTCCCTGCCCGCGGGGACAGTGGGAAAACTTGAAATGCTGAGGTTTCCTTACTTCATTTCACTGAAGGTGGGTGAGGGATCTGACTCAGCCTAGTTTAAAACAGGGCTAAACTCATCTGTGCTGCTCGCTGGGATGGTCAGAGCTCCCTTTTAAGCTGCTGGTTTGTGCCCAGCGCTGCCAGCTCCATCTTTCGTCTCTCCTCAGTCAGTCAGTCCTGACAGGAGTGATGAGTTGGACATCACTGAGAAACGAGTGGCATTTATTTGGTAAAAAGGGCAAGGGGCAAAGAGAAGTGTCCCCTGTGGCAGTGTGAACGACAGGCAGTCTCTGTAGATCTACGTCTGCGTTATTTTATCAAAGAACTGCACTTGTAGCATCGCAAGCTATAGCACAGCAAATGTGGGACTGGTGTTAGGTGGGTGTTAAACCCTTGAAGGAAGGAAAACCTGCAAGCACAAACTGAGGAGGAGCTGTTGGGAAGTTTCAACTTCTGTTTTGCTATAGAAGCTTGTACGGAGTAAGTTTGCTTCTGCTTGGGATCACATAGATATAGGAAGATAAACAGAACAGGACAAAATTTATTAATATCCAAAGGTATGGCTTGGTTAGCGAACAGCGGTTTGTGAGCTTTACTGAGTAACAGCTCTGAGGACTTTCTCATGCCCTCTAACCAGCGGCGATGTTTTGTGTTCTGTTTTCTCTGCAGACGTCGGCTGATCTCCCAGCGATCTTCTCTGGAGACTCTGGAGGACATCGAGGAAAATGCCCCACTGCGGAGGTCATTTTATTTACTCTCTCTCTGGTTACTTGTCTGCAAGGCACATGCATGGACAGACTTGCTGTCCCTTCCCATGTTTTTTCAACATTTCCATAGCTGGGTGTTCACGTTAAGATGTTCTTCATAGTGGGTAAAGGTATTGAGCCCTCACGCACCCTGCAGGGTGGTAGGTGACATGAATTACACGTTCCCTGGCTTTAGGTTATTAAATAAAAACTCAGCATTTAAATAAAATATCAGAAAACAAAAAGTCAGATTTGGTTAATAGAAAAGTTTAGTTGTCAGTAACACGAATGACTGGCCCCTAAGGTACATAGGGCCTTTAAAAATTAAGTACAGCTGGCTTAATAAAGTAGGCTTTTGAAGGCTGGTATTTTTAGTGTTCTTATTTTTTATGGATTTTTGTCATTTGTTCTCTCAGCACACGCAATCTTATTTCGGTAACCCGTGTTACTGTCTTTGTGTGTTGGCTGGTAGGTTTGTGACTGCTACCTCACGAATAAATCCGCTCCCACCCTTGTTATACCAGCAGCCTCGGTGCGGTTTTATTGCTGCATCCAGGAGGCCACAGCTTCCCTGGGGACGGCAGTAATTAGCCACTAGGCAGTCCTCTGGGGCGATGGAAACTGGAGCAACTGCTTAGCAAGGGGCTGGTCAGCAATCCGACCCGTGCGTGGTATGCTTCCAGGGCAGCTGCTCGGCAAGGCGGCAGCTTAATTTTGAACGTCTGTATATTTTAGGACCTCTAATTCAGCTGGTTCGTATCGGTGTTTAGCCCATAGCCTTGTTGATCCACATGCAGATCGGCTGCCTCTCCCCACCTGGAAGCAAAGACTTAATAGCAGAGGCTGTACCACCTGGCCTGTTACCAAGGCTTGATTACTTTTACGAAGCTTACTGTTGAATGCTCACCAGCATGTTATGAAGCGTTCTCATAAATGATTCAAACACACGTAATTGGCAAAAGATATAAACAAAGTGTGGTTTGCGAGGCGGTATTTTTACTTGCTAATTTGCAGAGTTGGTGGTAGAACCTCCCTCTTGGTGGTATTTTCCCGTGAAGAAGCTAACAGGGGTAATTGCAACCAGAGGATGAGGGAATCGCAAGGATTTTACTGACAGGAGGAAGGCAGAAATGGGAAAGTGATGGGGTCCCCCTGTCGGGCTGTGCCCATGCAGTGCAATGGTGTTTGGGTACAGCAACAGGGACTGGCAGCCCCTGGTGGCTTGGGACCGGTGGTCTGTGGTTTCAGTCCAACAAAAGGATCTCTTGGGTTTGGGAAGCTGCTGAGCTCTGCCTATGCATAGGATAGGGTAGGAAAAATAGTTTAGGGAGGCTCAACACAGAGGGACTGTGGCGGTCCCATGCGCCGGTGGAGGATGCTTGTCCCTGAGCTCCCACGAAGGATGCAGCGGCTGCGGTCCAGCAGCCCTGGCCGCACAGCGAGCACAGGAGTTTCCTCCGGTGCCTGCGCACCGTGCCATGCCTTGCAGCAAAGCAGCACTGCGAGGAAACAGAGAAAGCTTTCACATGGCGCTGTGGTTTCAGCTGATTAAAAAGAGCAAGGCTGGAAGCGGGGGGGGGGGGGGGGGAATGTCTTTCTCTAACTGCAATTTAAAAAGTGCGTTCAGATGTAAAATGGATTTAAGGATTAATGTTTTGAAGAATGATTTTTTTTTTTTTTTTTTTTTTTTCCCGGGGGGTGGAGGTAATTTATTTTATTTTCAGTTGGTTTGCATGCTGTCAGGAATGTGAAAAGTAATATTTAGAGTTAAAAGAAAATAGGAATTATCCTTGCAAAAGAGAGATTTTAAATCTTTCTAAAATTAAAACAAGAAAGAACTTTCCTCAATAGCTCCTTTATCAATAGCTGAGGAGGATACAAAAGTGTGGGTGTTGGCATAAGTGGAAAAATCTCATGTTTACCAAGTTTTGGTTTAGTTTAATTTTTTTTTCCTCTGAAAGCTTGGGCTAAGCTGTCACAGCAGATTACAGGAAGTTTTATTTTGCTGAGATTTTTTTATGATTTTTTTTTTTTTTGCGTAAAGGGAGGGGGTGGTGGTGCCTTTTCTTATTATTGTTTTAAATATTTTTTTTTATTATTTGACCTGTCGCCTTTCCAGACTTATTGTCTTTATTGTTCTTGCTGATTCCTAACACAGGGCGACTTGAATCATTTGTCTCGTCTTTCCTTCCTGCCTTTGTGTAGACTTCTTGGCCATACAGCAGGGAACTGAGTATTTCTAGTTTTTTTTTTTCTTTTTTTTCCCTCCACAACTGATTTATTTTTCAGATGTCGGACACTCTCAGGATCACCCAGACCAAAGAACTTTAAGAAGGTTCATTTTATCAAGAACATGCGGCAACACGATACCAGAAACGGCAGGTACTGCACATGCAAAGGCTGCTTCTGCAAAGGCAATCTGTGGGGTGTGAGGGAAAGGGCAAAGTCAGCATCCCCGTGCAAGAGCACAGTGTGCCATTGCCACTTAACCAAATATATAGTAATGGGTTTTAAAATAGTCTGTGAATGTGCAGGCTGCAGTGCATGCTCCTTCCTCGGGTGAAGTACGAGTCAATGGAAGTGCTAGCCCATGGATTTTTTTAAGACCCATATCTCCATAATACAAATAACTTGCATAAAATGAAAATAAGTCAGAGTGAACTAGGCATAATCTGGTTGCATTTCTTGGAGGGTAGTGTCAGGTGCTAAGTGTGAGCGGGGCATGTGGCTGAACCTGCCGGGAGCAAGTTTGGCAATGGCTGAATGGATATTTCAACAGCTATTAGTGGCTGTAAGGGTAGGCGTCAAGCTAGCTGGGTTGTCAGGGCTGCCTGTGGTGGGAGGCTTACCGGACAAGTGACTCGAGAACAGCTTCAGGGAAAGGTATTAAGATTATCCTGAGTCTTACAAGATAAATTACAAACGTGACAGATCCCAGTCGCAGGGTTGTGTCGTCCCAGATGCATAACGCTGGTTGGTGAATCACAGAATGGCAAGGATGGAATGGACCTCTGGAGATCATCTAGTCTAACCCTCCTGCTAAAGCAGGTTCACCTAGAGCAGGTTGCACAGGACATCATCCAGGTGGGCTTTGAATATCTCGAGAGAAGGAGACTCCACAACCCCCCTGGGCAGCCTGTTCCAGTGCTCTGTCACCCTCAAAGTAAAGTTCTTCTGCATATTCAACTGAAACCTCTTATGTTTCAGTTTATGCCCATTGCCCCTTGTCCTGTCGCTGGGCACCACTGAGAAGAGCCTGGCTCTGTCCTCGTGACATCCACCCTTAAGAAATTTGTATGTGTTGATGAGATCCCCTCTCAGTCTTCTCTTCTTCAGGCTGAACAAGCCCAGCTCCCTCAGCCTTTCCTCGTAGGGGAGATGCTCCAGTCCCCTCATCATCTTTGTTGCCCTCCTCTGGACTCTTTCTAGGAGTTCCTCATCTTTCTTGAACCGGGGAGCCCAGAACTGACAGTGCTCCAGGTGGGGTCTCACCAGGGCAGAGTAGAGGGGGAGGATAACCTCCCTCGACCTGCTGGCCACACTCCTCTTAATGGACCCCAGGATACCAGTGCAGCTGGAGGTCGTTGTGGTGAGGTGAGGAGTGGGATCCTTGCTTTCAGGGCAGCCACAGGCAGATGGGCTCCCTGGGGATGCCTGAGGGGTGCAGCTGCGGTCACCACACCGCACACCCCGAGCTGGGGCGTGCGCTGCCCGGATTGCAGCCATAGGCACCTGTGGGGCCTATACAGCAGCGGTCTGTGGGGACTTCCCTTACCGCAAAGGCACGGTACCTGGCGTCGTGTTCCCATCAGCAAAGTGGGTTCTTTACTGCAGTATCATCCAGCGCAGAAGTGAAACTAGCCTCCTCCCCACATATAAAGAAGACACCTGCCCTCTCTGTTTTTTTTTTCTCACAAGACAATTTCCCCACGCACTTCATGATTTTATTTTTGTCCTTCCAGACTTGAAAAGATTTTAAATAGACTGCCTGAACAGGTTGCATGTAAACTAAACCATCCCGCTGAGAGCTGATCCTTGCACATACCCATTCTCGTAGAGCTGCTGTGGGCGAGAACCACGTATGTTCCTGTGGACCGATTTGTGCACGTAGCCTGTGGTTTCCATCAAACGTGGAACCAGGTCAATAGAAAGTCTGACATTACATTGAACCGCGGGTTTTATGAATTGAAATCTGGTAGGTGTTGCTTGGCTTGAGCAAAATTTTCCTCACGTTTATTCTCACACATACAATTAAATGAAGTGAAAGGTAGTAATCAGCAGAAGGTGGCTCTGAGAGATGACGGCTTTTTAGAAACAGCTTTTATAGCAGAGTCATGCAGAACTGTTGACTTACCTGTTGTCTGACTAGCAGCTGATTATTGTCTTTACAACAAATAGATGTGGAATCACGCGATGAAAAGCAGCCCTCTAATTTTAGCCTGTTTTGTACATAAATATGTGTACACTCTGAGAATTTCTTATAGCAAAAAATACTTATTCATAAAGTATTATGCAAATTCCACAGAGAACGAGTAATTTCTGAGATGCATATATAAAATACATCCATGAACTTGATAGAAATATTACTTGTGAAAAAAATTACTAAATATTTGATTTGTGAGCCCTTTTCTCAGATCTGTTGCAGAAAAGTATTTGTAGGATATATCCTAACATTTTATCTTCGTTTATATATCAGTCATTACGTCTGATAATATAACTGAATATTTTTCTTGCTAGGAAAACAGTGAGTAAGCTTCTGTTATTCAACTAGCTCTTATGTTTATCAGCAGACACAGTTTTCCAGAATATTTCCATAATCATACTAAAGATCCCTTTATCTAGAACACAGATACAATATGAATAAGATACACAGTTTTGAAAATGCTTTTTGTCCTATGGACAAAGAGCCACAGCGATATTAGCTAAAAATAAAATGCAAAGTCAACACTTTGTGTCACCCCAAAGGCCAGCTGCGTTTAGCAATAAATAATCTGGGCACATACCCTGTTTTTCCAAGGGGTCTGGATGCAGTTGCAGCCACTGAAGTTAATAAGCATTCTGGATGAGAAAGACCTCTGGAAATTCAGGTGGCTCTGCCTTATGTGTTCATTGTAAAATCAACAGGCTTTCTGAGTACCTTAAGACCTTTAAAACTGATGTCCTCCCCGGTGTCCTGTGGCACGGGGGAGTACAGGTATGGCAGTGGGTAGAAAACCCTCCTGGGGCTCCTCCCCGTGGCTGGGACCTCGTCCCAGGCAGCTCATGCATGGTCATGCAGGGCGCAGGTGCTGAGCCGGGCTGGAGTTGGGCTCTCTGAGCTCTCTCCGAAATCCCTGACCCTTCCATCACAGCATGTCAGCCTTTCCCTTAACTTGAGGAACCCAGCTTTGATAACATCTACACAGAATATATTTTTAAGTGGTGAATTTGATAGCTGGGCTTTAAAATAGCCAGCGCTTTCAGTTTCACTGGCTGGTGACTGTGAGTGCCACAGCAAAGGAAACGGCAGTGTGGGTGGTAGCTCAGGGCTCCTTTCTCTGGTAACTGCCCTTATCTGAGGCTCTTGCCCTGTAACTTGATGGGTCCTTGTCCTGCAGCGCTGAGAGCTCTTCCCCTCAGCCCCAGGGATGGCATCTGCTGAGTGACGATGCTCTGGGTCCAGCCTTCGGCAGTCCAGCGGCAAGGCAGGATGAGCTGAGGTTAAAGTAAGAGTTCAGCTATTTAGCACAGAGAAAAACCACCTATACCTAGACCGCAGCTTACCAGCTAATCCTTGTAAAGCTTCCTGTTGATGGTTCCATGCACTGGTTAAACTGGCTTCTTCTGTTTGGTAGGACATAACTTATTAAAGGAGCTGGAAAATTAAGTTTCCTAGACTGTATTATCAAAGCAGTCTTGTAAAATAGCACAAAATAAATTTTCCCTTTCACAAGTCAACTCTAACGTACAAATTAGCACAGGTAGCCACCAGCGTGTGGTTTCACCAACTTTACTCAGCAGGTTTATTGGTGGTGTCTTCCATACACTGTGAAGCAGATTTCCTATCTAGCAGAAACAGGCCACCAAAACAGGACAAGGGGTAATGGTTTTAAACTAAAGCAGGATAGATTGGACTAGATTAAAAGGAAGAGATTCTTTACAATGAGGATAGTAAAACACTGGAACGGGTTGTCCAGAGAGGTGGTGGAGGCCCCGTCCCTGGAAACATTCAAGGCCAGGTTGGACGGGGCTCTGAGCAACCTGATCTGCTTAAAGTTGTCCCTGCTCACAGCAGGGGGGGTTGGACTAGATGACCTCTAGGGGTCCCTTCCAACCCAAAACATTCTGTGATTCTAAAACAGCAACCCAAGCCAGCTGAGCAAACAATTCACAGTGAGAATGGGACAAGAACGTTTCTATAGTCATCCTATATAGCAGATATAAAAGCAGTAAAACAATGTTCCTTTCCCACCCCCATGCCATTGCTTTCTCAATTTGTTAGTATATAGAACTGAGCCAAGGCCAAACACCACGCATGGGCCATGAAAGGTCTCTCTTGCTGCCCTTTTAATTGTGGAAATGCACACGCATGCACTCTAGGGTTGACTACTGAGGCATCCTCACAGTTCATAATTCCTCTCAGCCACATTCTAGTAGCCCAAGCTTGAACTTGGGAGACTGCAAAATGATGGCAGCTACCCAGGCAGCATCCATGGGTTGTGTGTTCACCTTTGCATGCAGGGCAGCAAAGCCATGGTAGTCAAACATCATCAATCAGGTATGAGAAAAGAGGCTACAGTATTCCGCATGTATATGGTATATATGATGTATACCACATTGCCTGATAGCAGCCTTTTGGAGCAACACAGTCAAACTTAGACAGGCGCTAAAGAAAACAGACATTATTCTTCAAGTCAAGTGGATTACTGATTCTGTTGAGGGCCTTGTGCTCAGTAAGTTTCTGTAGCTTCATAGCTTACACTTCATGAAAGAAATTGGAAGATGAGCTTTTACAGTCTCGGGGAGTTGCACATTGTCAGAGCTCTCTTGCAAAATAACGGTTGCTCTGAACCATAGTAATTACTACAACTTCTTGGTGAAATGTGAGAATTAGAGAGTGAAAACCTTTTCATGAAGTAATTTTAAGCATGTCTAGGTGGCACAATGCAGCCAGGGGACGTAAACCCACTCTGACTCAAGCTGCTGCTTGATGTTGGAGATAGCTCACTCGGAGCTGCGCAGGTTCGTAGATGCCCTTTGTTGAAGGGTTCAAATCCAGGAAAATGCTTTTCTCCCATAAAAAAAAAATTTGATTTTTCTTGAACAGCAACAGGCTTCCACCACACCTTCTTCTCCAGAGCATACTTTGTGACAAGTTTCTGGACTTTCTGCTCCAGCAAACCGTTGCAGGCCCTTTTGTTTTCCATGCATATCATCAGACCTCTAAATAAAATGCTGGTTTATCCCTCTGTGATGAGCTTCTGACTGCTGCTCTTCCCTGCTTCTCTTCCAGTCCAGCTCCTAAGGCTGTTTTGCACCAGCCCCCTCCAGCAGCCCTGCAGATGAGGTGCTGTGGCATCCTGGCAGTGGAGGCTGTGGGCTCCTCTCCTGCTCTGCTTGGGAGATTTTTGTGTAAAGAAGGTCCCCTGGGGCTCCCAAGGGAGAGAAATCTGAAACAAAACAGAAGCTGGGCTGGTGCTTTTTATTTCCTCTCTGGTCTGATTCCTTCTGATACACACAGCAAGTTTTCTGTGGTAACTTCCCGCTGTTATCTCTGCTTGTGGACGTGGAAGCACCAGTTTGTTTTTCTTTAAGTGTTAAGAGTTTGGAATTTTTTTAGGGAAGTGTAGGGCGTTGGTGGAAAAGCTGTGTTTCCAGAAGCAACCAGGGTGAGGGGAACACGCTTAGTGGGTACCATGTTTTTCCAAATTCAAAGATGCTTTCTGATGTCAGCCTCGAAATCCCTGCCAAGTTTCAGACATCAGCAAACAAGGCTTCCAGTGAACAAGCAAGCTGTTGTGAGTAGCAACCATTCAGCAGTAAGCAGTGGCAAGCACAAAATTAATCATATGCCAGGTTTTTTTGCTTGTGGTTTGCCTTTCTCAAATGTGAAAAATTATTCCCCCCTGCTCTATAACTTAGTGCTGCACCATGAGACCATCTTATAGGATCTGAGATACTTACCATAGGCAAGGGGAGTTAGAACATTCAGACAAACAATAAAATCCTACTTTATCTGCTTCAGGAGAACTTCCTAATGCTATATGCATGTTTATTATTAGAAACCCTCCTTCACTGAAGGGTAAATACCACTTTGCTTTTAAACATGCTCTTAAGGAAGAAAATAGGATTGCTATAACAGAATGATCCAGGAGAAGGAAAATTGATCATTCTGCATTTTCCCAAGCATTACATGCAGCAGCTCTCTTGGGGATCTAAACCTTTTCCAAGAACGATGACTAAGCTGGTCCCTTAAGGAAATAGTGGCTTAATAGCAGCATAACTAGTACAACTTTTATAGGTGTATATGGTGGTTTTCAGACAGTAAAGAACAAACTAGCTTGCTAGGGTTTGTTGTCCTACTCTGACCAGTGTAGGACAAAGGATGAAAATTCAGGTGAAATCTGAAGCGTCAGAAAAATCAGTGGTGGAGAGCAGAGCAAGGAAGCGCAATAGCCCTGACAACCAACCTAGCAGTAAGTCCTAGCATCTGGACCACAAGTGGAGATGTTTAGAAAGGTAGAAACATCAGTAAATTCTAAAACTAATCAGATTAGAAGGTGGCACAAATTGCCATCACTGTGTCTTAGAGGAATTTGAGGGGATGCAGCCTGTTGGCCAACTTTAGAGGGAAGAAGGGTCTTTTTAGTGTACGTTGTGCAGTTGCACAATTGTCAAGTGTCCTGAAGGTAATAAGGAAAGAGGGTATATTTATAAACAATCAGTTATTTATTGGTATTTTATATCTTAGCTTCTCTTGGCTTCCTGCCAACCTGCATCTCCCAAAACTGTAAGAATGTAGCTATTGGCAGTGCACGCAGTTTTATGGAAAGTGGGTCTTGACCTCAGGGTGGTTTTGGCATTGCTTAATGGTATGTCAGAGCTTGATGGCTAAAGGCAATAGTGTGGCTGTAAAACAGATAGGTTGCTCCAAGGTATGGGATTTAATGCCACACAGTGACTTTGCAGATGATGCAGAGCTTTGGAGACTGGTTTAAAAATATGAGGCGTTTGCTGTGAGAGTGGCCTGGTTTCTGAGATAAGCTCTGTGCAGGCAGATAATGTATGCTTTCACATAGCCAAATCTTGAGCTACCTGCCTGTAAGGAAGGAAGGCAAGCAGTGCTTACAGGAGGGATTCAGCCCCGACAGTGACTGAGATAGACGTGAGATGCTGGAGGAGAAGGGGCGAGGAGCTGTGGGATCAGTCGAGCCTGAGGGTCAATGCAAAATTGTAACTGAGAGGGCTGATGTGATTACCCAGCTCAGGGGCTGGCGGGTCATTGGGGCTAGACACTGAGCTTAAAGGTAAGACTGAAAGATGCAATGTTTATATCTGCCATCTGTGCGACTGCTGAGGCAGGTGATACTGCCCAGAGACCAAGAAGGGTGATGGGGAAAAACTGGAGAAGACTCAAGGAGGAGCCTGGAAAACAGGCTTATGACAGTAGCAAACTTTGACTTCATGAATCAGGCTCTTTCAAGAACAGGAAGCTGAAAATCAAGGGAGTCCTTGGGTTTAGCAGAGAAAGGTCATGGCCAGCAGCTGGAAATTCTTGTCCGATAAATGCAGGCTCCCAGGTCAGCCAGGGAGTTGTGGTGTGCATCAGGGGTGGGTGTTGGTGCCGCTGGGTTTGTCTCTTCAGTTTCAGTCGTAGTGGTGAGTTGTCAGAAGGGCTCCTTGCCTCCCTGGGTGGACTCCTTTCACTAAGACTCTCAGTAGAAAAACATGTCTGGATTCCAAGTGATGTATTCAAGATAGTCTTCCTAGAGAGCCTGTGGAAGGGATGGGACTCCACTACTCGTTCACTGTGTAATGTATGGTACGGGCTTCAGCACTTCTGTAAGGACTCGGTAGCGCGATACCTGTGAGATAAAAGAGAGGAGGGAGAAATCACCCATGATGGAAGTTTCATGATTACAAATTCCTTGACGGTAACATGTTGCTTTGCTTGTTGTGGTGGGATTTTTAAATTTTAGTCTTTGATTTATTTTATTTTCTTTTATATTTTAGAATAGTCCTTATCAGCAGCAGAAGATCCTTCTGTAGCATATTTTCAGTGCTGCCATATCGAGACTGTACCCAAGTCGGGTATGTATATTTATACATGTCATATATACAGACTATACATAGTCTCTCTGGGCCTGCATGTAGACCTGATAACGGACAGCAGCGTGGTGGAGGCTAATGCTTTTACATATCTGCTCTTAGAAGAGAGAAATGCACTTGGATATATTTGCTTTGTGGAAATATTACCAAGCTAAAACAGCCCTCAGTCCCCAGTTTATTTATATGTGTTGTGGTATCCTTGATTATTAAACCAGAGAAAACTACAGCCCTGAAATCAATGTTCTTGAAAAATGCAGTTTTTGTTGTTTCTTCTGACTTCTCTCATCTTTGACAAAACAAGTACTCTAGGCAGCACAACTCTTATTTTACAAGCAGTCTTAGCTTTCTCATTCTCCAACGCAAACATGGTGCTACTGTATCTAGATTTCCAGAACTATAGAGAAATGTTTGGATTTAAACATAGTACCTTTTTATTGTACATTTGGCCATTGGTCAGATCATTCAGTCAGTGAAAACGGATTATTTTGGCCATAATACCATACAGGTTCTTAGCTGGTGTAAACAACATCTGTGGAGCTGCCTTGCATCCCTCAACGTGCTGAGACACTAGCCCTCTGATAGAAAAGTTTATTCGGACTGAAGCAGTTCTCCAAAGACTGAGAAAGCTTTTTGCTCTTGTACTGAAACTGCAGAAGCAGAAGAAACTGGATTTGGCTAGGAGACATTGCCTGGCAGGCTCTGGGGCACAGCTTTTGCTGGGCTGCCTTTGGAGGCAGAGCCCAAGGCTGAGACGGGCAGCGCTGGTCGGCCACAGCTCCTTGCCCTGGGGGCAGAGGAGCGAAGCGTGGCCGCCACAGCCGCTCGCTGGAGAGCTGAGAGTTGCCTGTAGCTGGAGTCAGCTCAGCACCTTCAGGGCACCAAATTTGAGGGAAATACTGAGTTGATAACCTGAGGTGGGTTTGAAAGACCCGCAGATCATCTAGAGTCAAATTTATCCCATGCATAAAGGATGAATTTGGCTCCTATTTTTCAGCCATGTATTAAATTCTGGAGAATGATTTGCCACAAACTGTTTGTGCATCAGTAATGCAGAACAAAGGGAGATTATTTTTAATGCACAAAAGAAAGGAGGCACCTTTGTAGGAGAATTGACTTGCTCTCCTGTCTCTTACAGTACATTTTTTCCCTTAATTAAACGGGGATGACACATCAGGCAAATTCTTGACAGACCGGCAGCTTTGTTCGTTCTTCTTGGGTACACTGTCATTCAGTTATGGTCATTGCCCTGTGGAAATTGCCTCTTTATTGAAAATTGAATATATTTTGAAATTCTGATGACTGGTTATACCGTCTAAATTACAGCGGTAGCAAGCCCAGCTGCAAACCTAAATATTATTTCAGTATGTAATGTCTTGTACCATGCCTGTGCAGCAAGAAGGGCATGGGATGAGAAGGTAGCAAGTGCCGGTGCAAAACAATCCAGCCCTGTTCCCTTTGCTAAAAAGCCAAGATTTAAAAAAATGTCCTCTGTCTTTCTTCCAGAGCATCAGAGGAAGAGAGGAACAATTCAATGGCACCTCCTTCCAGGAACAGCTGGTGCAAAGAACAGATGAGGCAGTATAGCATAAACTGAAGCCACTCTGTTCAGGCTGCACAGTGCTTGCTTACTTCGTTGCACATTTTGGATCTGCGGTGGGAGGGGGAAGAGGCACTGCTACCCTGTTGAAGTATCATAGTGACAGCATCCTTTAGTTTTGCTTTCTCTGAACCTCTGGATCGCTGATGTCTGTCCCCAGGCAAGATGTCCTAACTGGTTTACGTTCTGCAAACATTACTGAATAGTTTGGGAAAAGAAACAAAGAGTTGCAGGGAACGTTGGGCACGTCTGCAACTAGACTGGAGTAGGACCTGGCAGGAGCGAGGGAGCAGGGTGGACGTGCATGCAGGGGGGACTGTTCCATGTGAGAGGAGCACATGGTGGAGCTGCTGCTGCTTCTCCACCTCTGCTCCGACTCACGGGCACTGCGGCCGGCGAGGAAATCTTCAGGCACAGCTGTGTTTTGGGGAGGCCACCAGCCCCCGTTATATTGTAAGCAGCACAGAAGAGCTCTACTGTGTCGATGCTGGCAGCTAAACTGTGCTAACAGATCCACTTAAAAAGATGACCTGACAGGCAGTTCCTGCAGGCGCAGCTAAACTCTGCATACTGGGCCAGGGCGGATGGGGCAGCATTGCCCCTCACCAACGAGGCGCAAGCAATGTGCTCTAGGCTGTGGCCCTTGGTTACCTACCTTCCGTACTGGGGTCAAGCTACCGGGGTCAGGCCCCCGAAGCCCCCAAACTCTGTTTTTAAGTGGTTGTACAAATACCAATGAAGAGTGCAGGGAGAAGAGCCATGGAAGTACATGAGACGATGAAATCTGAGCTGCCCTCTGGAATATCTTTCCCAAATCCCCCTCCCTGGCAGCCGGGTGGCTGCCGGCTCACTGGAGTGCGGCTGGCAGCAGGCTTTTGAGGGGGAACGTGCTCCAGAGAGGCACAGAGACTGCCAGTGATGAATGGCAGTTTTTGCTACCTGTGGTTTCAGAAGGCCTCTTAGTACTTGCTGGGGCTGAGAAGGAAGGACACCAGGTGCCGGGAGAATTACTTTCTCTAGTTGTCTCTTGTCACGCTGAAGAGAAGCAAAAAGTACAAAGCAAGGAGTGATGTGATGGGGAGAAGAAAAGTCACGAACAGAAGTAATCACTAGAATTTTCTGCCCTCAAAATTTTGTCCTTACCGTGTATCTGATGGAAACCTAATGCTTGAGCTTATGGTGCTTTTGTGTAAGGGAAAAGGGGAGAATTAAAACTAAATTGACAAGGGTTTTGAGACGCATTATCTCCTGCTGGAGTCACTGAGGGCAGGTGCTTCTGTGAATCTGGGCCATAAATTCTCCTCTCTAGGTCTGGCTACGTCAAGGTTGCGCGCCTCTGTGCTGGTGGTATGAAGACAGCCACAGCTTCACCTGTTTCCATGGCTGAGAGTAGGGTAATGGGCAGGACCAGAGCTTGCTTTTCTTCCCCCACCTAGACCAGCAGAGCAGATATAGCCAGGGGAAAGCAATGTAAGGAAGGCTGTACTGCAAGCCAGGAGCTGAAAGAGGTGCTGGGTATCTTGCCTGCTGGCTTACCTCAGCCCCCAGCATCCTGCAGCGTTAACAGCCCAAAGTTGTCAGACCCTACACAGGGTTTAGTGGTGGCTAAGGGCCCTGATGAGAGGGTTGCCCTGTACTGAGAGCACTGTAACAGTGTTATTGCCACTGCTATTAAATTAGCAGACACACACAAACTCTTGTTATCATTACAGTCTGATCTGCAGAGGCAGGTAGCACCTACAGGATTCAGCCACATGGATAATGTCGTCTGAATGCTTGGCTTTGATCATGTTTTTTATGGAATACGAAGTCATCATGTGATGCACAGGTTAGAGGCGAGGCAATTCAAGGGCTGCTGGTGGTACTGCAGGATCGGTTGTGCAGTTGCTACTGTTTTTTTTTCAATGTATTGGAAATCTTCATGGCTGAAGGGTATTCATGATCTGAATTTTTCTGCTGAACAAAACCTTGCTCACCTGTGAAACATGCATGCAGTTACCACACAGAGATTTTGTGGTAACATTTACCAACAGAACACAGGCATGAGGAGATGCAGAAGTGACGACTGAACCTTTTTTACCATTGTGGAGAGATCTTGTGCTTTATAAAAATTGTTTCTCCCCTCCTTTCTCATCACTCACTGATGTTATACTATGGATCGTGTTGATACTGCAGTATTCTTTAATAATACTTACAAATTTGAAGCATCATATGTAATGTTATGCTATTACTATTCCTCAAGTTCCTTTCTTATTTAAATACAATACTCCAAAAGATGGAAAGCCGACATTGTGAAGAGTATTGAAACTGGATTTCTGGCTCAGTATCCGCTTTATTCTTCCCCGCAGGAAAAATACACACTCAGCTCATGCACATGCACACGCATACTGACCTGCTTTAGCCCTCGGAGGGAATTCGTTCCATGGCAGACCAAAGAGTGGAGCCACTTGCAGGTGGATTAAACAAGACTTGAAGGAATTACTCATTTGGAGATGGGCTATGGGTGGTTTGAGGTGAATTGGATTTCAGCCCTTTGAGCTAGGGATCAGACACAGCAGATATTAGTCTTTTAGTCATGAGGCCAGTCGTGCTCCCAGTGCCAGGCCCTTGCAGCCAGCACAGGGAACATGCCTGCAGGTTTCTGCCCACGCCCCTCCCCAGCACGGTCGGTGCAAGGGTGCTCTGCGGATCCTCTGTGTGACCCCAGCTGGGATGGAGAAGGACCAGGTTCAGCTCTGCTTCCAGGTAGCTACCCTGGAAAAGGCAGATTTCCTGGGCAGGGGAAGAAGGGAACCCATCCTCCATTGCTTGCCTGCTCTTGGACCTTCCTAGGCACCACTTCTTCAACTTCCAAGGAGATGCTACAACTCCGGCAGTCCTCATGGATGCTGTTGGAGTTGCTCCATGTGGCCTGCAGGACATGGTGGCCTGCAGAAAGGCTCTGCATATGCTTGCAGCCAACTGAGAGCAATCCACTTCTTGTTAGTATTTTAAGGTGCCTAAGCATTTTCGATGGCCATGTATGTCTGTCACTGTTAGAGGTGTTGTAAAGGAGGAAGAAGATACTGTATTGTCTTTCCCCCCAGGAAAAGAAGGTAGTGCAGTTATTTGAGTTTATAGTTCTGTTCTGTTGTAGTTTTTTTTCTTTGGCACACATCATTATGGTCCATAATTTAAAAACATATTTTTGAAAAGGGACTCTAGGCTTGGTTTTGTTATTGGCAAAAACATTCACAGATTGAAATTCCTGTTCTTATGATACTTTATTTTGTGATGTAAGAACCTTTTAAGAGCTTCCAAGTTCCTGTGAAGTCCTGCCTAGAAGATGAATCTAGAGCACCCAGTGGAGGAGGAGAGCTGGTGGTGTCACGCAGGTGCAGCACTG